ATATATATATAAAAAATAAAAAGTCATCAGAAAAGTACATCATTTTATATAAACAAGTGCAGCATAATGGGGAAAGCTTAAAAAAAACTCTAGACATTGTTATTATTATAACAAGCTCTGTGATAGCAATAATGAAACACAGGTTACACAGTGCGTTAGTTCAAGGCTTTTTCTTAAGGGTCACTCTGTAGGGGGTAAATTGTTGATTTCCCCTCCATCAGCCTTTTTTATTTTTTGTCCTGAAAAATGACCTGATACTCGTTAGCATCGCCTCTAACCAAGCTCCTCTCCCCTCACGGCAGATATGTCCGCCGTGAGAAAGAAGGGGTAAAAAAAAAAGAAAAGCCAGCCAGGGATTATGTGTCAGTTCCGAGGGAGCTGTTTGAACAGTGGGACGGAGAGGGAGCTAGAGACTCTTCTCCTGCTCCAGCTGCCATCCTACTCCTGCTCCTCCCCCTCCTCCTCCTCCTCCTCTCCACCAGAACCACTTCTCTTTCTCATCACATCCAGAGGTAAATAAGCTAGGTTCAACTGTTACAGCCTCTTTTCGGGCAGATTGTTTACCTCCCTGCGCGTTTTCCGCCGTCAGACAGCCACCGGGAGCCGTTACAGAAATCAGCCGAGGGGGTAATTCTGATTTGTGATGGGGGGTCTGTGCTTTGTACCCCTGCCTCCTTGGCGTCGGGTCGGGGTTACGCTTCCTTAGGCAAGTCCGAGGTCCACTTTCATAGCTGGAGATGCGACGATGAAGGCCACAGCAAGTGCGAAGTGCTAATCTAAAGCGATACGCGACCCGTGCGGTAAAAAGAGCGATATCGAATAAGCAGCACACGGCTAACCGGGTTTGATGCACTCCCGGTGATGCTAGCTAATGCAAGTTACAGATAAGGCTACACCTAGCCAGTTAGCATACATTAGCTACATCTTCAGTTGTTGCTAGCCGGCTAACCGCGAGTTCATTTTTGTCACTTTCACAGACGTCGTCGCTCCGCTCTTCCTCATAGCAAGGGTATGAAACAACTAAAATAATAACAACAGAGTATTAATGTAGTTATAAGTGTTGTCAAGACGAGCTAATGTCTCTGTTTTGTTTCCGGGCAGTCCCGGGAATCTTAACTGGCTCTGAAACAAAAGAAGAATTTTGAGACATAATTAGCTAACAGTGGCTTTTTCTTTTTAAATCGCCTTTGGATTTTGTTTTGTATGTTCCGTCGGCGAAACTGAAAGTATAAACACGGACAAGCAAGCTCAAGATGCCAGAGACACAAAAACAACACACAGAAACACAATCGGTGTCACTTTATTGTGTTTTTTTTAAATGAGTGATTAAATGAGAGCTGTCACCACTCGAGTCTACTTGCCAGTGCACGACGTGCGTTTGAGATCTAATGTAGTTGATTGCCGGTGTGTTTCCGCTCTCACTGTATTTTCGATTTAGAGCAGGTTGAAATTTCGCAACTGGATTGCATATCCTCAAGTTGTGTATATATATAAGGGGAAATTGTACCGGGGAGCAAGGTAGCATTTCCAACAGAGCCTTAAATCAATAACTGATAAAGCCATGCCCAGGCTTGTTGTGGGGCCTGTGTGACTCGTGTACCTCAGAGATTCAGTTATGCTGGCACTGTAATAATGCCCACTCGTGAACTCATACCATTTCTAATCCCCATCCCAGAGCAAGTACACTATAGCTGTCTGTAAAAATAATGGGCCATTTCTTAATTCAGTCTTGTTGCCACTTTTTTTTTCTGTCTTTTGCAGCACTTTGGCGATGTGACATATAGGACGATTGGTGATATTGACCAACCTGTGCATTGACACGACCTCTTGACCTCATCTTCAGCATGAATGGTGACATGCCTCATGTTCCCATCACTACTCTTGCTGGAATTGCTAGCCTAACAGACTGTAAGTGCAACATCATCACAGCTTAAACACTAGAATTCAGACTAAAATGAGGCAAGACTAGTGATTACTTGAATGCCAAGCAGGCCGAAATTAACTGGGCATGTAGTTATAAGAACGCCTGAATACTAGTTATTGTCAATTCAGAGGTTATAGATTTATGTGCCCTATATCAGTTTCAGAAATGAAAAAAAGAAACATATGTAAAATATATTGTGTGCATCATTGCATTTAATACACATTCTGAAACCTTTGGATTGTTTATCCAGATTAGAATGTTGCTGCAAATTTAAATAGTGCATTGCCAAAAAAAGTGTTACTTTTACATTACTTCTACATAGTGCATGTAAGTTGGGCGTCCTTACAGGCGTTTCCCTGTACAGTTTTATGCCATGAGTTTCTTTTAACTGTCCTTTCAGTGTTGAACCAGCTTCCTTTGCCTTCTCCCCTACCTGCCACCACTGCTAAGAGCCTCCTCTACAATGGAAGGATCTCAGAAGAGGTCAGCAGCCTGCTGGTGTGTCGAGACGAGAGTCTAGTGACTCAGCTGGCGCATAGCCTTAACCAGGTTTCCACCGAACACATGTAAGTTTCACTCGCTGATCTTTCATACCTCGCTGCAGTACTGTTTTTGTTTTTTGTTGTTTTTTTAACTCTTAAATTATTTTTGAATTGCACATAAACTATTGCCCTGACAGTGTGTTATTTCAGAGTAATGACTGTTTAGCTCAGTACTATAGTCGGGTATTGCCAATTTAATGCCAGTGAGCACATTACAGTAGCTGGCTTTTGGGAATAGGTGGCTCTTACCTGTAACATAGATTGTTCTTATGTTTATTTTCCAGAGAGTTGAAGGACAACTTGGGCAACGATGAACCCGAGGGCGACATGCCAATGCTCCTACAAACTTTGCTGTCCAGGAATCCCAAAATCTTCAGGGACAAAAGTATGCAAACCCAGCACAAGGTTCTGGGTGGTAAGGAGGAGACACTGAGACATTGCTGTTGACTCTGCAGTTGATCTTGCTGCATGCTTTCTCTCTGCGGGTACCTTAGTTTAGCTTAATTATTCACCTGAGCATATCTTTTGCTGGATGTGCTACTTAGGCCTTGTTTCATCCTGTGTGATTCCCACACTGCAGTCATTGTCACCACAGGAGGAAACTCTGGAATCACCACACAGAATAAGCATTTTAGCCTGTTACAGGAAAGTGCAACTATTCACACTGTTACTGCTGGATTGCATCGCGCTGATTACAAGAACAGAGCTGTCATTGATGTTTTTTGTTTTGTTTTTTCCCCCCTTGTAAGACATACTAGGGAGTGGCAAGACAAATATGGAAACCACTGGCAAGTGTGTTGCCGAGTTTTTGTATAAATGCAGGTTTAGTTTTAATGGGTGAGCATTGGCGGTTACATTGTTTCAGCACAAAAGGTGAGGACAAATGCTAATGTTAACTACAGATACTTGTGTATTTGCCCTTTGCACCGATAGATCAGCCTGTAGAAAGTGAAAAACAGCCCCTGTATGGAATTTGAAGAAGTTATCTTAATCACTTGATCAACAACAGTAATGGTCCAGTAAGTTTTGTGTTTGTCGTGGGATGGCCAGGTTTGCGCTGTCTCGTAACTAACAACAAAAACAGGGCTATTCTTTGTTTTGGTGACCAGCTTTCTAGTCAATTGCCTACAGCGTGCATAAAATAATTGTCTTAAATCAGTTTCGGCAGTCACAAGGCGTCTTCACCTAGTTGTTTGGACAGATCCTGGCTCTTTTATCTCCTAGTCTTTAAAGTTTTTAAAGACTTTAGTCTTTAAAGTCCTAGTCTTTAAATGAAGCTATGTTCCCTTATTTGCAAGGGGTCACCACAGTGGGTAGCTCCGGATGTTTAATTTGGCAGAATTTTTTGATTGTTTTTATTTGCCAGATGCAAACCTCAAAGGGTTTTGTGTCTCCTTCTGGGGTCAAACCAGGAATCTTTAGCTTGTCAAGTGAAACTACATTAAAGGTCTAAGCTATAGGACCAAAGAAATATCTTTTATACAATTTTATTGTTTAGCACATCCCTTTAATTAGTTTTTTTTTTTTTACAGAGACTGTTTCTTCTATCCAGGTCTGTTGATTATTTAAAGTAGGGAATTTTTATCTTTTCATTTGTTTCTAGTGGATTGCAGTAGCTGTATAAATCTGGTAGACAAATGTCTCAAAATCTGGCTTCCCATTAGAGGTTAAGCTCTTCGTTGGGACTTGTGTGAAAAAGCCCTTTAAATCTATCTTCATATTGGTTATAAACTCAGATAATTAAAAAAACAAACAAAAACAGAACACTATTTTTTGATGTCTTCATTAGGTTAAAAAATACCTGTTGATGTTTATTCACCCTAATATAATTCGGGTCTCTGGAATTAATAATAAATAGGATCTGTCAAAAAAATTTACAGCCAGAGAGAGAAACAGCCTAGCTCTGTTTGTTTTGTTGTCATTGGCTAGATTGCTCATTGCCATAGACATTTTCATATTTGGCTTTGGCTTTAGCTTGGGAAAGTTTTATTATTATAGGAACAGCCGCAATATCTCACAGTCGCAGGTGGTAATTGTAGCAATTATTAATAATATTATAATAATATTAAAGCAAACATTTAGGCATCATTATTGAGGACAGTGGCAAATGCAAAATGAAAACAAGAAAAAGTAAACAAGTGTTTGTGGTAATGACCACACTCACAGCCCGTAAAAATGTGGAGTCAAGCATCATTTAATGCTAATGGATGATAATGTACATAGCCTCCCGCTTTGGTTTATTCTCGCCATACTAACCTCTTTCTTCGTCACTCTGAAATTCACTTTGTCAGATTTTATTTTCATTACTTGAAAATATAATGCTGCTCCTGCAGTTTAGTACCAAACGCTCTGACATTGCAAACAAACTTGCATTATGAGACGATCACCCCACTGTTAGGACTGTGAAACCATGTTTTGTGTAATGCAACCACCATCACTAAACATGCCCTCAAAATGATCGCAGACTGGAATGGACACCTTTCCTGCATGGTTAATGGAAAAGGATGGGCAAGATTGTAGCAGACCTGTTGTATTAAGTGTTCACTTTATTTTGCATCTGAAATGTTGTCTTTAACACAGTTTTTCATCCTGCATATTTAATGTTGCAACTTTCTTCCTCATGCCTCAGTGGTAGAGAAAATATATATTATTATGTTTAAACAGGATCAGGATAATTTATAAAATACTTATTTGCTAAGACTTATTATAGACTTAATATCCTGGAATGAGAAAAATAACCTGCTTTATATTATAATATAGTGAACCCAGTATTCCTACTCAGTAGGCAGGCTTGGTTTAGCTGGAGAAATGCACATGCTGAGCTTCTTGTTTGATATGTGTCTAATTTTTATTGTTGTCTTTATCTCATAGGTGTAATGCTGCAGCCAATAGTGCAGCAGTATAAGATTACTCAGAATCAGGTCCATGGGAGTCCAGCCTCAAACTATCAGCAAACCACTGTCCCTCAGAGCCCCTCTGGGTAAAGCAGTGCCACCGTATTGTCTGATGATGAAAATCAGAGGCATGTATTCCTCAGCTAAGGCTTCTTTTCCTTTGCTTTCCTCATCTGCAGATGCTTTACATCACCGCAGTCTGGTTCAGGGCCACGCTTTGTACCCCAGCAGAACAGCCCTATACCTAGTCCCTACACACCCCAAAGTCCCGCGGACTACATGCAGTACAATCCACCCAGTTATTCCCAACACCAACACGCTCAGCAAGGTGAGTGTAATGTTTGGTCAAGAGAAAAGTATCACATAAGCTGCATGTCGAATTGCTTTTAGTAACGACAGAAAATAGCAAACTGAAGTTTTATGTGCATTTGTGTACTTCAGCAACCAGTAACAGTGCACATGGTGACTTGGATAGACCTAGCTGGTTGTATGCAAATTACTTAACTGATCCCTAATAACATTATTAACTTATATACACCGTTAAGTGGTGAGAAAATGAGCAAATATCTAACTAGAATTTTAATTTCATTTTCGTTTCAGTTACGAGTGGCTTGAGAAATATCCATGACAGCAAAGTCTCTGGACATCTATCAACTGATTTATCGAATCACAATGCAAGACTGGGCTCAGATGAAGACTACATGAACGTGGCTCACAGACTGGGAAATGAGGTAATGTGGAAATTCAAGATATCATGAACTGGACCTCAGCTCAAACTAGGCGTGGGTGAAAAAATAAATAGAGCACAGTGTTGGGATATTTTACATGGCATTATTGCATCAATACAGGGAGACCAAATATTGATATTTGACTTAATAAATTAAAATACTCTGGAAATACTATAAACAAAATGGTTCGTCTCATGCAGATGAGATGATGCTAGCTGAGCAAACTTCGATTAAATCAGCTCAACCAAAAAACTACCCAGCACTGGACACATTTAGCTTGACAACGCTACCGACTAATTCAGAGCAAGCTAATGGGTCAACTAATGAGTAAAAACAGGACAGTTAACTTGATCCCATTCAGTCACAGACTGAAAGCAGACTGAGCCCATCTTATGGCAACATTTATGGCAGTGTGTGCTTAACAATCTAATTTTGTCACAACTAAAGTAAGGTAAATTATTGGATAAAGCAGATATTGACAAAGGTTAACTTTGAGGATGTAATTTGCAGTTGAAAAAGGTGATAAATCACAATATGTGTTATTGCAATACTCGGGATATCCCAAAATATAAAAAATCAGAAAAATATTGTATCGTGTCTGGTGACTCTTACATCTAGCTGACTGTTAAAATAAAAAGAAATGTCTTGTGTTTCAATAGGAGCATGATTCTCCAATGAAGGCTGCCGCATTTTCAGTGAGATCCCCACAGTCGGCATGTTCTCCAGCTGGGAGTGAAGAGACTGTACAAAGTATGCTGCCTTAGCAACAAGTTAATTCTTCATTTTTGTGTCTTCGCAAAAAAACCTAATACACTGCTACAGAAATCACGTTTGGCTTAAATCTGTGGTCTTCACAATTCCATCAAATACTTTGTGTTTCTGCAGGGTCTAGGCCTTCCCTCATAATGCAGTCGCCTCCAGCTGATGTGCCACGAGGTGCACCGCCTGACCAAATCCTCACCTCGTCTGATCGCAAGAAGAAACATAAGGAGAGGAGTAAAGAAGAAAGTGATCCGATGGAAAAAAATGCCTTGTACGACATAGTTAGTTCACCAAAAGACTCGACCAAGCTGACCTTAAAACTGTCCAGAGTAAAGGTTCAAGACGTGGATCAATCTGAGGAGCTTCCCCCTGAGGCACATATGGAATTGGACCATGAAACAGTTATGATCAATAATAATAATAATAACCAGTTATCAAAACCTGCCCAGGAAGTTCCAAACAAGTTAGGAGCTGACGATCAAGCAAACTGTCAACAGGCTGCTGTGCGGTCAAATACCATTGAAACTGGTGTCACTGGCAGAGTTTCCTTTGATGATACAGAGATAGACACACTTGCAGAGATTGAGAGGATAGAACGCGAGTCAGCCAGTGACCGAGAACGATGGTCTAAAGAAGTTCAGGACAAAGGTGAAAATCTGTGTTTGTTTTTCCCCTGTGCTTCTTAGCATGTTTTTCTCATCTGTCAGGTTGTTTGTGTAGAGGTGCTAAGTTGTAGTGTTCTTTCTTTCAGACAAGCCGCTGAAGAAACGGAAACAAGACTCCTATCCCCAGGAACCCGGGACAGAGTCAAATGATGGGGCTGCCACTCATGGGGGCAACAGTGTCAGCAAGATGACACCCAAGAAGACGAATGCTGCAAGTAATGGTGCCAGTCGGCCTGCTTTGATGGTCAGTATCGATCTACAGCAAGCTGGCAGAGTAATAGGACAGCCTGTAGTGGTCTTGGAATCACAGCCGCTGTGTGAGGATCACCTACGTCGTCTGAAGTCAAACCCCGATGGAAAGGTCAAAAGGGTTGGTGATGACAGACCTGGGATCATCAAGCAGCATGCTGACACTCTCCAGAAGTCTGGCTCAGATGGACAACCGGAAATGTATAAACAGAAGCAGGAAAGCCAGCGTGAATCAAAACACAGACATGACGACAAAAGTGACAGCAGCAAGGGACCGTCAGATGACAGAAGGCCAGACCCCTCACGGCAGAAACTTGACAAGCATTCAAAGTCACGCCACAAAGAGGAAAAGAATCACAACAGCCACCGAATGCTTGAAAACCGACCCGACACCCCAAAAAACACGAGCAAGACAGAGCGCTCGAGACATGGAGAAGACAAAGGCAGGGATAGAGACAGGGATAAGGACAGAGAAAGACACAAGGATAGAGATAGAGCAAGAGACAGGGACAAAGAGAGAAACATAGAAAAAGAGAAGGAGAGAGACAGGGACAAAGACAGACACAAAGAGAAAGAGAGAGACAGGGACAAAGACAAAGAGAGACACATAGAAAAAGAGAGAGACAGGGACAAAGAAAAAAACATAGAAAAAGAGAGAGACAGGGACAAAGACAGACACATAGAAAAAGAGAAAGAGAGAGACAAAGCCAAGGACAGGGACAGGAAACAGAAGATGTTAAGAGAAAACTGCAGTCGAAACTTAGCTGACCCGCATACTAAACCTGACAGCACCAGACTAAAGCACGATGGAAGCAAAAAATCAGCTGACCCCAATAGTCGACAGAGGACAGGCAATTCCAGCCTTAAAAATCCCCAAAATAAGGACCAAAAGACAAGCGAGGACGGCAACATTAAGTGCCAAGCTGGAGACAAACGTCAGTCCTTTGAGGCCAAACCGAGCGAATTCCCCTCGTACCTGCTGGGTGGCAAGTCAGGGACCCTGAAGAACTTTGTGATTCCTAAATTGAAACGAGATGGAAAAGATAAAGATCCCCCAAATAAACTAGTAGAAGGCTGGAGCGAACCGCGAGTAAGGCTGGAGAGAGTCTCATTGGTAGATAACTTAAACAAAGGAGCTAAACCCGTTGTCGTGGTTAAAAAACTCAGCGTTGATGAGGTGAAAAAGATCATTAAGGAAAGCAGGAACGCGCACGGCTCCAGATCCAGGAACTGGTCATTTTGTGAGAGGACAAACAAGCGAAGCCACAGTATGATTAGCAAGAGATCCAAATATGCTGAGTTGGCCTCGGATGATGACCAAGACAAGGATGACGATGAAGACTCTGACAATGAGCGTGAGTATCGCTGCCTTTTATAATCTCATGTTCTCAGTCGTGTAAAAACTGAAATCATGTATCGCCTCTGCTCCCACAGTAGCTTCTAAAAATGCTGCTCATTTTTTCCACGATCTGCATAAGGACCTGAAATAGTCAGTACCTGTTGCTATGGTTCAGTTCAAGAGAAAATATTACTCCTGGTGGATGTGCTTCCTCTTAAAGTTGCACAGAAATTTAATTGAAATTGTTCCTGTTTTGACCTTGAGCATTGCATGTGTTCTGGCAATTGTGTTCATCCTTTTGTAGTGTGTTACACTTGCTTTTCTATCTGTTTTTGTTTAATATTCTTAAAGTGTCTGCTGCCCACTTGTCCAGGCCACTATTGAAGCATGTTTAATCTCAATTACAGTTAAATTAGTGATAATGTTAGGCCTTAAAAATTGCAAGTTTTTAGAAGAGCACATGGGAATTCTGTAAAATCTACCAAAGTGCTTTACTGTCTCTACTTCTGATGGAATTTCCTTTTATTTATTTACAGTATTTTGACAGTGATGCATTTTTTTTGTTTTCTTTGTGCACCACTATTGTGTATTTTAAGTCAAACCAGTATTTAACAAAAGTATTACATGAATTTTTTAGGAATTATGGCCATTTTTATACATAGTCCTCTATTTTCAGAGGCTCAAAAGCAAGTGGACAGGTGAAATAAAAGCAGGTTTGTGGCCAGAAGAAGCCAGTTCCCTTGTTATTTAATGACAGATGAATCAGATAAAATGTCTAACTCCCAAGTACTTAACTTGAATTTGGTAGCTTTTAATTGGAACTTAGCATGAGGTCCAAAGAGTAATGAGAGAAAGACGCCATCATTAGGCGGGGAAAACAAAACAAAACCTGTCAGAATGACAATAAAACCTTTAGACTGCAGAGTCTTTTCAAGTATTAAAAACAATCCTTATTTTTACATTTGTATTAGTTTGTCCAATAACTTTTGACCCTCTAACAATGGAGTTAATGCAGTACTTTTACAAAACCTCTTGGATTACAGCTCAAAGTGTGCACTTCAGTCACACCTTGACTGTTTGAGTTAAAGTCACCAGTGTTGGTGTGCAAAAGCAAAATTACAAAAATGTAATTTTTTCCTAAAAATTAGACCTAATTATAAATTATAGCCCTAATTGCATGTAAAGCAGCAACTTTACAATGCAGATGCTGTCTCAACGTGTACTCTTCTTTGTTGTTGTTTTTTTAGATGCAAGGAAAAAGAAAAAGAAAGACCACGATAAGACGTGGAAGCATGAAGAGAGAAGAGGTTCTGGAGAACACCGTCGAAGTGGAGGTTTTCATAACGCTCGCCGAGGGTCTGGTAGCCGTCAGCGCGACTGGAGAGATGAAGATTCAGATGAAGGCTCTCTCCCACCGAGCCTGAGTGATGGTCAGATTTTTATTTTTATTTTTTTTGCATACGCTTACCAGTGGATAAGTGGATAATCAAATAATGTGGTGGCCAGTGAAGCCCGTGCTTTCACTTTTTGATTAGATTACAGCTGTCCTGTCATTCAGATTATCGTTATTTAAAATAATTGGTCATTCCAGTTCCTGGGGTGTGTAGAATACAACATCAATTTGTTTCTCTGTTGATGGCTTGAGGGTTGGTTGTTGCTGCTGCTGATTTGGTTACTATTTTGTGTGTGTGTGTGTTTAGTTGCCAGAAAGCAGAAGAAAAAGGATAAACTGAAAAACAGGAAGATTTATGATTCCAAGTTGACACCAGAGGGTATTGACCTGGCACTTTGAATTCTTTTATAATTAATTCATAATTAATTTTATTAAAACATAATGTATTTGTATTAATCAGTTCTCAATGACGTTAATCTAACAGAGATGATGGACTCCTCCACATTTAAGAGATTTGCATCGAATATTGACAGCGTTCTTGAGAATCTCGAAGACGTGGACCTCACTGCCGCAGGTAGTTATGATTTACTCTGCTGTTTTCAGACTCTTTGACATTTATCGAGTGTCACATTAAAAAATAGTGACACTGTAACTCTGTGCCAGATGATGATGATGAAATACCTCAAGAGCTCTTACTTGGAAAGCAGCAGCTGAGTGAGCTGGGCAGCGATTCTGCTAAGATTAAAGCTATGGGCATCTCTAACAAGGTGAGAAGGACATGTTCTTGCAGTGTTAAATTGTTACACTCATGGTGACAGCATTTTGTCATTGTAAACAACCTTAAATGACACCTACTGTTACGGTTAAAGTAACCAATTATTTTTTTCTGCAGTTTTCTTCTAGTAAACTGGTGAAGTTTTTGAATATTTTGGAGAGGAACATTCAGGACAGCGTCAAACTTTCTACACTAATGAACCATGTAAGTTCTCAGCCTGATCTTAGTTATGCTGTTCAGGCACAAAATGTGAAATTTATTTCCTTTTTTAAAAAACTGAATCATAGGGTAATGACTCCATGGATGAGGAGCGGTTGTGGCGCAACCTCATCATGGAGCGAGTGACCAAGTCGGCCGATGCTTGTTTGACTGCACTCAACATAATGACATCTCCGCACATGCCAAAGGCTGTTTATATAGAAGATGTGATTGAGAGGGTGCTGCAGTACACCAAGTTCCATCTGCAAAACTCTTTGTACCCTCAGTATGACCCAGTCTACAGAGTGGATCCCCACGGAGGTCAGCCACAGTTTTATTACGTTCTTTTTAGCTGTTTTAACACGTACAGCAATAATCATGATTTCCAAGAGATTAAAAAAAATGTGTGTATTTTAGCATTTTGGAGTTTTTAAAACTTTACTTACTTGAATTTCTTACGGTATTTTGGTAGTGCTTAATAATAAAGCCAGTGAGTTTTGGTGTGACTAATAGAAGTTTTTTTTATACATTTCAAATTCTCTTGTCCTCCTTTTGGCCACAAATCATTTTAAATCTAAAACTAATGCATTTACCTTTACCAAAGTTCCTCCCATGTAACATACGGTACATTGTGGGCTGTAACATCAAGTATTTCTTATCAGCTGATGTTAAGACCCTGGATTTGAATCTAAAGATTGTGTCAGAATATCTGAGAAATTCTAACATATTACTTCTGGGGTTTTTCGTTTAAATAATTTATTCTTGTTTATTTATCGGATCTTCCTCACCCAGGTGGCATGCATACTTCAAAGTCCAAGAGAGCCAAATGTTCTACCCACAAACAGAAGGTGGTAGTCCTGCTCTACAACAAAGTGTGCGATATCATCAGCAGCATCTCTGAGCTCCTTGAAATCCAGCTGCTTACTGACACCACAATTCTGCAGGTGCAGTTTTGAATCTGCCTTCACATCACTCAGATTTGTGTCCTCATGTCACCTTGGCTGTTGAGTTAACTTATATCTCACTGCTTTTGTGCCCATCTTTTAGGTGTCCACCCTTGGCATTACACCATTTTTTGTGGAGAATGTTAGTGAACTGCAGTTATGTGCCATCACACTAGTGACTGCGGTGAGTATTACTATAGGTGCTTCTGAAATTGATTTGGATTAAGTTTTTGATGGGATGCTTAAGTGTGACGTCTGGACTGGTGTATTTTGATGCGGTTGTTTCTTGTTTGACTCTCGTGTAGGTGTTTTCTCATTACAAGAAGCACAGGCAGCTCATTCTTGAAGAGATTTTCACCTCCCTGGCCAGACTGCCGACTAGTAAACGCAGCCTGAGGAATTTCAGGTAACTACAACCAGAGTAAATATTTGCTCAATATCAGATGTTTATTGAGGCCCCCAGTGTAACATAAGGACACTGATGTCTCATACTCCCCAGGCTGAACAGCAGTGACTCAGATGGAGAACCTTTGTATATCCAGATGGTCACAGCCCTTGTTCTTCAGCTCATCCAGTGTGTGGTCCACCTTCCCTCTGAGAAAGAGACAGAGGATGAGCACAATAAGAAGGTGACATTAAGGTTTTAATAGATTTTTTTAAAACCATATTTGCCTTCAATAAATACCCAAAACATGTATTTTAAGAAATGCTAAAACTGTTTTTTATTGGGTATTTATTGTCTAGGTGGATAAAGATGTTCTTATTACAAACTCTTATGAAACTGCCATGAGGACAGCTCAGAACTTCTTATCTGTGTTCCTCAAGAAGTAAGTCATTGTTCCTACTCTTGCTATAACCTGTCATGTCTGTGTGACTGTGACTCCTTATATGTTGTATCTTTTTCTGTGGAATAAGCTGCACTGCATGTGTTGCTATTCTGTAAGTACTCTGCATGTTTCAGGTGCGGCAGTAAACAGGGAGAGGAGGATTACAGGCCGCTGTTTGAGAACTTTGTTCATGACCTGCTGTCTACAGTTAACAAGCCTGAGTGGCCTGCTGCTGAGCTGCTCCTGAGTTTACTGGGCCGGTTGCTGGTGAGTGTCACCACTCGTCATCTGCCCACTAGGAAAAAGTTGCAGATGTTTGGTTTTCTTATGACATTTCTCCTCCTTGCCTTGTGTTCCAGGTGCACCAGTTCAGTAACAAGCAGACAGAAATGGCACTTAGGGTGGCATCGCTGGACTACCTTGGCACTGTCGCTTCCCGTCTGCGTAAAGATGCTGTCACTAGCAAGATGGACCAAAAGGCTATTGACCGCATCCTCAGAGAGGTAGACTAACAGAATTTGTTTAACAGATAAAAAACCAACCAAGATGTCGATCTGCTTTTAAAATGCTTTTGGCATTTTTTTCACAGACTGAAGGCAGCGACGAGATACCAAAACTACAGAAGGCTTTGCTCGGCTACCTAGATGAGAACATTGAGACGGATCCATCATTGGTGGTGTGTTTTTAACTTGATTTTTCATGAACTAAAATCTACGGAACTGCTTTCGTGTTTTAAAAAGATGTATTATACTCTGCCCTTATATATTTATGTATTTGTTTCATCCAGTTTGCTAGGAAGTTTTATATTGCCCAGTGGTTCAGGGACATTACAAGTGAGGCAGAAAAGGCAATGAAGTCTCAAAGTGAGGACGACGAGGACTTGAAAGGTCACCATCATTCCAGGGATGTTGACTCGACCGCCGAGATCATGCAGAAGGCGGAGGCAAGGAAGAAATTCCTCCGCAAGGCCGTCAAGACGTCAACATCGCATTTCAGTTCCCTGAGGTAAATAGTGCTTCACTCACGACACTACTTCGCCACATGGCTCGTTTGTCCTCTCATCCTTATAGTAAACGATACTCTCGACTTTTCTTTCAGGATGAACTCTGACACAATAAACTACAACGACTCCTGTCTGATTGTTAGATATCTGGCCTCCATGAGGCCGTTTGCACAAAGCTTTGATATTTATTTATCACAGGTAAGATGATCATTAGCTTGAATTAGCTTAAACACCAGTGACTGTTTATATTGTGTCAGCTGTCATTAATTTTTTTCTCTCTATGGCTTCAAACTAGATCCTGAGAGTGCTGGGAGAGAGCGCTATTGCAGTCAGAACTAAAGCTATGAAGTGTCTCTCTGAAGTAGTGGCTGTAGATCCAAGTATCCTGGCACGGGTAGGTCATTCAGTATCGACTGCTACTTGGCTCTTGCAGCTTGTCTGACACAGAACGTGTTTCAGCTGTTGTGACTGTGCAGATTTGTCCGCAACTGAGCACCAGAGCTGTAAATGCTGCCTTGCTAACGTGCTGCTCATGGCTCGATGCCACAGAGATTGATAGCTATAGTTCTGTCCTGTCACTGTCCTAAACTAATTTTCCTTCTTTATTTTTTTAAGCTGGACATGCAACGTGGGGTTCATTGTCGCCTCATGGACAACTCCACCAGTGTGCGAGAGGCTGCTGTGGAGCTCCTCGGCCGTTTTGTGCTAAGTCGACCTGAGCTCATTGAGCAGTACTATGACATGCTCATTGAAAGGATACTGGTAACTTCTTCTTCTTTCCTCCAGTCCTTTAACTACATGAGTGTTAACCTATTGATGTGCTAAAGTCTAGATTTACTTTAATCACAACATGTGTTCTTTTATGGGTTTGTAAAGAGAAATTTGTCCTGGAAAGTTTAATTCAAAATACAAAAGTTCATAAGAGTTTAAAACATTTTTTTTCCTACAGTGCCACCTAAAGATCAAGTGAAGAACTGCAGGAATATATTTCTGTTATTATTTTCTCTTATTCTTCCTGTTTGCCATTATATTTATCTATCATTTGCAGTGTTTTATATACACACACACACACACACACACACACACACACACACACACACACACACACACACACACACACTGGATAAGTAATACTTTTGGATTTACTCCATAAGTCACAACAAAAGGAAACTAATGTTCAGTTGTTCCTTTGTCTTTGTCAGGACACAGGCATCAGTGTGAGAAAAAGAGTCATTAAGATCATGAGGGATATTTGTCTAGAGCAGCCAGACTTCCACAAGATCACCGAGATGTGCGTGAAGATGATCCGGAGGGTCAACGATGAAGAAGGGATCAAGGCTGGTGTTTTTGTTGTTGTTTTTGTTTAATGTACATTTTTACAGTCGACTGTTGGTAGTAGCGTTCATATACAGTGTGTCTAACTAAACATCTTTTCCTCTGCAGAAACTGGTGAATGAGACATTCCAGAAACTCTGGTTCTCCCCGACGCCGAGCCACGACAAAGAAGCCATGACCAGAAAGATCCTGAACATCACAGACGTGGTGTGTATTATCAGGACAAAAGGGAGAAACAAAAAAACAAAAGTGATCTTATTTAAATAAGTAAAATGAACTAACTTGTGTTTTTTTTTTGTTTTTTTTTGTTTTGTTTTGTTTTTTTTATTCCAGGTGTTGGCATGTAAAGACTCAGGCTACGACTGGTTTGAGCAGCTTCTCCAAAATGTTAGTTGACTTTGTTGCTGTCTCAGAAGCTGCTTGTCTGCATTTTTTCATTTGGCACTCCTTTTTAATTGTTGTTGGGTCATTTTTCTTTTTTTTTTCTTTTTAGCTGCTGAAATCAGAGGAGGATGCTTCGTACAAACCTGCAGGGAAGGCTTGTGTTCAGCTAGTGGACAATCTAGTGGAACATATACTAAAATATGAGGAGTCTCTTGCGGGTAAATGTATTTTGCTAAAAAAAGAACAAACATAGGTGTGTATTTGCTTCTAAAAGTCTTATTACAGATAATAACCCTGTTGTGTTTGTGTCTCAGATTGTGAGGACAAAGGGGTCAGCTCAGGTCGTCTGGTAGCGTGCATCACCACTCTCTACCTGTTTAGTAAAATCAGGGCAGAGTTAATGGTTAAGCATGCCATGACTATGCAGCCCTACCTGACCACCAAGTGCAATGTAAGTACTGTGATAGTTTTTTTTAATTTTTCGAATGTTTGAGATACTCACAGGCAAGCTAAACATGGACCTGGACAGTGAAGCTGCCATGTGTTTTTGTGCTGTCATCTGTCAGAGTCAGAACGACTTCATGGTGATATGCAACGTGGCTAAGATCCTGGAGCTGGTCGTGCCTCTGATGGAACACCCGAGTGCGACTTTCCTCACTACCATCGAAGAAGACCTAATGAAGCTTATCATCAAATACGGCATGACGGTAGGTCTCGTTTGCAGCTCGCTGCTTTCAGAGGTAGCTTTAAAAACCACAAACAGCGTGTGAGACAGTTGTTCTGATACATCCTTTTGTGCTCCCCAGGTTGTGCAACACTGTGTGAGCTGTCTTGGTGCTATCGTGAACAAGGTCACACACAACTACAAGTTTGTTTGGGCTTGTTTTAATCGGTACTATGGTAAGGATTTTTTCTTTTTTTAAGACAAAACACAACCACATTTCCCAAACATTTGTTGTGTTTAGTTATTTAAGAGTCCTTACTAATCTAATATGACAGTGGAGTTTAAAAACAAACACACACTCTCAGACGAGCTGGTTGTTTTCTTTGTGACTCAGAAAACCTTTGCCATTAGGGAAGTTGCAGAGTGCCCTCTGGTGGGCAAACTATCCAACATCAACATGGTTAAAATGTGTTTGTTCTCTCTCCTGCTTGCTTTTAAATTGTCAGTCATCAGCTGTTATAAATGTTAGTAACAAAATATCGACAAATTATCAATATCAGGTATTAATAGAGCCAGTACTTTAAGCCAGCTATGAGTTTGTGCCAAGCTGATGCACAAAACACAATGTTATGATTTCAGTCAGTAGATCACAGCCTTTCCTCTGTCGCTGTGGATCCATAAGCAGCCAAAAAGAAAAAGGATGATGGCTGATATTATGATTTTTTTTCTCCTCTCAAAAGCTAGTTAGTTGTGAGCTCCTTTTTACAGGTTTAAAAGGGTTGTTGCTAGTCTGTGAACTGTTACTAAGGAATCGTTGCCTACTTGTTTCATGTCTTTGTTTTTGTCTCTGAGAACCTCACCGTGATGTGTTCCACTTTATGCTGAACTGTCACTTAATGCTTGAGTTTTTTGTTTCAAAGGCATTTCTACTGTGAAATAAAGCAGAAAAGGTACAAATTGGTGGATAAAAATTCTCCTGAAATGAAAAGCTCTGTGAAAACCTAAACTATATAAGCGCAGGTCAGGAAATGCAGTCGTTCGACTTATTACTTCACATTAAAGCTCACTTGACTGTTTGTGTTATCTTATAGGAGCGTTAGCAAAACTCAAGACACAGCACCAAGAGGATCCCACCAGCTCCACCCTGGCTGCTAACAAACCCACTCTTCTGCGCTCGCTCTTCACTGTGGGGGCTCTGTGTCGACACTTTGATTTCGATCAAGAAGAGTTCAAAGGTGCTAACAAGGTAAACCCTGGCCCTTCGCTTAAATGTTGTAGTGGCTCCATGGAGTTGTTGTTAAGAAATTCTCTTAACTCATGAAAGATCGACCTGTTTTGAGACTGGGAGGCAGAGTTTCAGCATGAAGGGTACCCAGCATGAATGAATGTGAATGAAGACTGCAAGAGCTGTTTTGATTGCTGGGTCTCTTTGTTTCTTAGATTGTCATCAAGGACAAAGTGTTGGAGCTTCTGCTGTATTTCACTACTCACGAAGAGGAGGAGGTCCAGATCAAGGCAATCATAGGTTTAGGTATATATCCTACACCTCAGAAAAGGCTCGTATAGATGTGTTTATAGTGTCACTTAATGTTTACAGCTTTCTTTTAACTTTGACTTTTGTTTTCTTTGTAAATCTGTATTTTAAATCAATTCCTCTCTTCCAAGGGTTTCAGTTCATCATGCACCCAGAGCTCATGTTTGTGCAGGAGTTGAAGGTTCTTTATAACAGCATCCTGTCGGACGAGAACAGTTCAGTCAATTTGAAGATCCAGGTCCTCAAAAACCTGCAGACATACCTGCAGGAGGAGGACTCTCGAATGCAGGAGGCTGACCGTGAATGTGAGTTTAACAGTTCCAGCTCACGTCCATTGTTATCCATGCACATGCAGTGAAACATGGCAGCCACTTAATGTGACACCTGCGCACTCACCAGGCTGATATTTTTGCTTCTTCAGGGAAGAATAAAGCCAAGCAAGAGGATCTCAAGGAAATGGGGGACATCTCATCGGGCATGAGCAGCTCCATAATGCAGATTTATTTGAAGCAGGTTCTGGAGTCCTTCTTCCACTCGCAGTCCACAGTTCGGCACTTTGCCTTGAGTGTCATCACCCTGACTCTTAGTCAGGGCCTCATTCACCCTGTACAGGTGTGTTCACAGTCTTACATCAGTATAGCCTGATAAGGTTTATTTACATTTTCTGAATATTTTTTAGGTGGGTTTTTGAAATTAATTTTTTATGTTTTGCAGTTTGCATACTCGTAAATTGTAAATTGTTGTTTCAGTGTGTGCCCTACTTGATCGCTATGGGAACAGACCCGGAGCCAACAATGAAGAACAAGGCCGATCAGCAGCTGGTGGAGATCGACAAAAAATACTCAGGCTTTATTCATGTGAGTTGGCTTGTGGTTTTTGACAACTGGAAAAATGTGAAAGTGTAAAAAAAGGTGGGAAAATAGAACTTTCTGTGTAATAAATGTATTTACATCTAATACTTTTATATTATTATTACATTCTGCAATTTGTTTTTGTTTTTTTAACTCACACCTTGCTTAAAAAACTCAGGCTTTAAAAATAAATTGTATTTCAAATGTCATCATTTAACGTGCCCACCTAATGAGTTATCTCACTGTTTTTGGGGGGGGGGTTTGCAGATGAAGGCTGTCGCAGGGCTGAAGATGTCTTATCAGGTGCAACAGGCCATAAATGGATCCAAACACGCTGTCATTCGTGGTTTCCGTCACGACGACTCCGACTCGGCTCTCTGCTCTCATCTCTACACCATGGTCCGTGGGAACCGCCAACATAGACGGGCTTTTCTAATTTCCCTGCTCAACCTGTTTGACGACAGCTCTGTAAGTTCATCTCTTTACTTTGGCACGATTGGCCTTTGTCAGAAGATATTTAGGTTGCTGTATTTGCCCTCAGAAGAGCAATTACACCTGTTTGTCATTTAAAAATGTGCGTTTTTGACTTTGTCTCCTGCAGAAAACAGAGGTGAACATGCTGCTGTTCATAGCAGATAACTTGGCCTGCTTCCCTTATCAGACCCAGGAGGAACCTCTTTTCATCATGCATCATATAGACATTACCCTGTCTGTCTCTGGTAGCAACTTGCTCCAGTCATTTAAAGAGGTGCAAAGCTTTGTCTAGTTTTGTTTATCAGTTGTTATGCTTGGTCGCTGTGCTCAAGAGAAGATGCATATCTGACCTTTCTTTTGTCATTTGTGCAGTGTTTACAGAAAGAGCCTATAAGGCATGAAAAGAAGATGAAGATGAATAAGAAAAAGAAAAAGAAGAAGCATTCTCGCAGGAAGAGCTACAGCTCTGATGACGACGACGATGATGAAAAGGATGATGAAAGCAGCAGCACATCCAGCAGCAGTGACGAGGAGGAAGATGTAGTGCAGAGGAAAAAGGGTTCCGATTCCGACTCTGACCTGGACGATGAGGACGCAGTGATGGACCGTCTGCCTGAAAACACCAAACCTCTGCTGGAGTTTGCTAGTGCGTCACAGGGCATTTTGCTGCTGCTGGTGCTCAAACAGCATTTGAAGAATCTGTACGGCTTCTCGGACAGGTGGGCCTCAGAGAAAATGTTAATCTTTTATTATCTCTTTGTGAGCAATGCAAATCACTTTACTGAGCAATTTTGTTTGTGTTACAGCAAAATCCAGAAGTATTCACCGACAGAGTCTGCCAAAGTATATGACAAGACAGTGAACAGGAAATCTAAGGTGCACTTCAACCCTAGTCAGACACTGGATTACCTAAGGAGTGATCTGGCCAACACAGATCTCAGCTACGAGGCCAAGAAGAACATTGCAAAACAGTATTTGGATGTAAGCTTTCAATATACTCGTGTCTCCGTTTGGAAACATAAGCAGTAGCTGTGTCCGTTAGTCTGCATGTAATAATGACGGGAAGTCTTATTGGTTTTCTGTCCGAGAAACTGTTTGTCCTTGTTTGTAAAACACGTGCAGGGTAGAAATGATCATTATTACATTTTTTCTGCCTTCAATTTCTTAGTTCAAGGTTCTAATGGATCATTTGGATCGGGATGAAGAGGACGAGGACGGTGAAGCAAATGCCAATGCCAGAAACAAAGCCATTACTTCACTGCTGAGGGGTCCAAAACCCCGAAACCACAACCACAGTAATCATGCAGCTCCAGTGGAGACAGATGATGAGGAGAGCGAGGATGAAGATCCCCCTGCTGTAAGAACTTTATTTGTTTTCCTCATGGTATCTGCTACAATGCTGGAAATATGTGGTGGTGTTTGTTATGCTGGGTTAAAAGTGCCAGAAAATGACAGATTGAAGCAAACTGACTTTTATTGCATGCATACACATAAAGACGCCCACACCATTGAACATTTATTGGATTTTCCTCTGTAGAGAGGGGCTTATGGTAATGTTAGTATGTACAGTGTTATGATTTGAGCACTTCTACAGAGGTCAGACAAATATTATAGATATAAAAATCATGTGTAAAAGAGGGCTTTCAGCAGACTGGAGTCCTGTGAAAAACACCCCATGATTCAACACCTTGTAGAACCACCTTTAGCAGCAATAACTTAGCAGTAACACAGCAATAACTCTGTGTGATTTTATCAGCCTCTTACATTTTTATGGAAGAGTTTTGGCCCAAACATTACTTCAGTTCATTGAGGTTTGCAGGCATTCATTTAGACGCAGCTCTTTTAAGGTCCCGGCACAGCATTTCAGTCAGGCTGAGGTCTGCACTTTGACTGGACCGTTACAGCACCGCGATTCTTTTCTTTTTCATTCTTTTTCTACTAACGTGCTCAGGATCATCGCCCTGTTGTATGACCCAGTTTGAGCCAAGCTGCTGTCAGCTGCCAGACAGACGACCTCACATTTGACTCTAGAATACTTTGTTATAAAGAAGCGTTCATTGTCGACTGCAAGGTGTCCAGATCCTGTAGCTGCAAAACCTAAATCCTCACTTAGTTTTCATCAAACATGGTGCTGTGCATTATGAACAAATATCTCCACTTTGGCATCATCTGTTCAAAGGACATTGTTCCAGGAGTCTTGTGGTTTGTTCAGATGCAGTTTTGCAAATCTAAGCCCTGCGGCCGTGTTCTTTTTAGAGAGATGAGGCTTTCTTCTGGGAACCCTTCTAAACAAGCAGTACTTGTTTAGTCTTTTGGCTAATGAACTTTAACATTTAACTTTCTACTGGCCTGTAGAGTCTGAGATGTAGCTTTTGGATTTTTTTGCAGTTTCTCTTAAGGATTGCACAATCTGACCTTGGGGTGATTTTGCTGGAATGTCCATGGCACTATGTGACGCTATGTTAACACACATCTGAATGCTCTAGAGCAGAAAACAGCTAAAACCTCTGCTTTTACAAAGGTGCTCAAATTTGCTTACGATCAGCTTTAAAGTGCTTTCGATTAGCAGCATACTTATACAGCAGGAACTTAGCCACAGGGCAGATCACTGTACTTAAACCCTGCAAAGCATAACCAAATAAATTACAGTAGATTACTTCAACACCGCCAATATTACAAAGTTGTACTGTACATTTATATTAATGTTTACAAACAACAGACGTGAAGAATGATTTTCAGTGTTTAACAGTGCATTGTATCTACAGCATATCCATTAACGTATTATCCCCACATAAATAAGAGTTTCTGACACTGCCTGTCATTCACAGCGAAAGCCAAGGAAAGGTGGAGACTGTGCAGAGGATTCAGGTAACATGAACGAGACAGTAGAGGTAATGGACATCGTAGCCATCTACTGTCGCAAATACAAAGACAGACCGCAGATTGCCAGGGTCGTCCAGAAGACCAGAAATGGCTACAGTATACACTGGATGACTGGATCTTACTCTGGACCCTGGGCTGTCGCAAAGAAACGGGACGGCCGCAAAAAGGTGCCTTGGGTTGACAATATCAAGGAGTCGGACATTATTTGCAAGAAAATCTCTTTGACAAGCGGACAGAAGCTCACGAACAAAGTGGCACAGACGTTACGGGCGCTGTACGCTGCCAAGGAGGGGACTAAGAGTTAATCAAAGAGATTAGTGAAACATCTTGCACAGCTCAACACTATGGATCCAATATGTTACATACACAGAAGTTAGATTAACGTCCTGGTGGTGGAAGAGTGTTGTAAACACGTCTGTCTAAATACACACGTGTTCAAAGGCAAGAAAAAGACAAGAAGGAAATGTTTAGGAAAACATTGTGTGGGAGTTCCTTCGCTGTTGTGCAGCAACTTGGTTGTTTGATTTTTACTCCCACTGTATTATAGATGAACTAAAAAAACGTGTTTATATCTGAACATAATTCTGTAAAAAAAAAAACAAAGTGAATGTTGGAAATTAGTGTATTGATGATGTTCTTAATAAAGTGGTTTTTGAATTTAAACTAGCACCAGATGGATTTATTCACTTGACCTGAACTTCCACAACTTCTAACTTTCTGTTTTTCTCCTGTTTTAGACATTTTTGTTTATTACCTTCATTCTATAATGGACTATCTTTGATATAATTTATTTATGTTCAGACAAGTGCAGTATCTGTGCCATTATTGTTTTTAATATAGATTTTTGATGTTATAGAGCACAGAGGAACAAAAAAGAGCGAGCGCCTGCTCTTCTGATGGAATAAATACTGCAATAAATTTTTCTTACATCTTTGTTCCTTGTTTGCGTTTTTTTCTCCTGCAGGCATCAGACCGTGTAATGTGCTTGGTTTTTATTTCCCCACCGTGTGTTTGACACAGATAAATAGAAGTGATTCTATGAAGTTAATTTCAAAAAGGCACATAAGCCCATGTGACAGAAAGATTAAACTCATCTGTCAATGATTCATAATATGTTACCACGTTCAATTTATTGAGCAAAATTTGTCATAAAAGGTACGAATTTTTAATCTGCTGTGGGCACTTTGTTCCTGTCTAACGAGCTTGTGTGTTTTATAAGTATTAGTGTAAATATAATCATACTAATAAGTATATGCAGTTTTTTTTACGTACACCTTTCTACCACTGAGTTTACCCCCTTTTTGCCTTCAGAAGTGCTTTAATTTGGGGGGGGGGGCACAGATTCAACAAGGAGCTGGAAACATTCCTCAGATATTTTGATCCGTATTGACAGTGTCACACAGTTGCTGAAGATTTCTTGGCACTGCATCCCAAAGGTGCCCTATTGGATTGAGATCTGGTGACTGTGAAGGCCGTTTTAGTACAGTAAACTCACTGTCATGTTCAAGAAACCAGTTTGAGATTATTTGAGCTTTGTGACCTGTTGTGTTATTCTGGCGAAAGCAGCCATCAAAAGATGGGTACACTGTGATGATAATAAAGAGATAGGTGGTCAGCAACAATAATCAGGTGGGCTGTGGTGCTTAAATTATGCTCAGTTGATACTAAGGGACCTAAAGTGTACCAAGAAAATATCCCTCACACCATTACAGCACCAGCAGGCTGAACTGTTGATACAGTGCAGGATGGGTGTTTGTTTATGTTGTTTACCCTAAATTCTTACCATAAGAAATTGAAACTAATCAGACCAGGTAACATGTTTTCAGTCTTCTTTTGTCGAGTTGTGGTGAAGTGTAGTATCAGTTTTCTGTGTTTAGCTGGCAGGAGTGGCACCTGGTGTGATCTTCTGCCACTGTTCATCTGCTTCAGATTTCAGTGAATTCAGAGATCTGATCTTCTTCTGCACAGCTTGGTTGTAAGGAGTTGCTATTACAGTGACTGTTGCCTTGTTTTCGACTCAAAGCAGTCTAGCCTGTCACCTGACCTCTGGGATCAACAAGGCATTTTTGCCCCGAGAACTGCCGCTTGCTGGATTTTTTTTGTCTTTTTCGGACCATTCTCTGTAAACCCTAGAGATGGTTGTGTGGGAAAATCCCACAAAATCCATGCATGAGATACATGCCATGTGTCAATTCAATTCAATTTTATTTATATAGCGCCAAATCACAACAGCAGTCGCCTCAAGGCGCTTTATATTGTACAGTAGATCGTACTGTACAATAACATTGTTATCCCAAGCAATCTGTTTTTGACTCTTACAATCAGCCCAATTTTTCTGAATCTTTACATTTGTATTGAATCTACTATTTCCAAATCACATTATTTTAGTTTTGATCAAATTGAATGATAATTTTGATTTTATCAAGCCAGATCTTCAGATCAAATATTTATCATCATCTCATCCAGTACATATTACAAATCAATACAAGAGAAGAACATATTAGTGTCATCAACAAAAACTAGCATTTTTAACATGGTGGACACCTCACATTGATGTACTGTGTAACCTTTGAACAACAATTGGGGCCCAACACTGACCCCTGGGGGAGGCCACAAGCAATGTCCATACATACGGAGTAACAATCATTTAACTTCACAAACTATTGTTTTTTTCTTAACTAACTCCCAACCAAATTTAAAACTACACCGTAATGCCACTGAATCAATTATTTGTTATTAAAATATCATGATCTATTGTATAAAACGCCTTTCTTGATAGCCCAAACACACTGGGTTTTTTGTTTGTTTGTTTTGTCTAGGGAGTTTGTGACGTGTTTAGTTTAATAATGCCAGTGATGTTGATCTGTTTGAAATAAAACCATACTTAGTATCTGTCATTAGTTTATCGTTGTATCATGAGATTCAGCACACATTACACATATTCATAATTAATCACTATTTTTTGCAATAAAACATTATGTTACACTCTAAGGTTTAATTTTTGATTGCAAACCTTTTTTGAATGCATAATAAAACATAAAAGTTGCGTTTCTGCTTGAGAAACTAAAACTGCTGACCTTTATAGAATGAGCGTCTCACGTTTAAAACAATCAAATTTACAAGAACAATTGAATACGTAGATTTGAAAACATCGTTATTTGAAACAGCACTGCAGATGAAACAGAATACAGCACGTCTTTCAATGGTTTAAGTGGTTATTTTGCGGAATATTTTACAGCTCTTCTTGTGTATCTTTGGTGGATGGCAGTACAACACACTCTGAAGGAGACGAAGAAGAAGTTACACCGGAAATAACCCTTTCTCTACTCCTGTGCATGAGGTTGGCGGGCTGCTAGCTGTATATGTGTATTGGGGGTAATTCTTTGAATTTTGCTGCTCAACTGATCAACTCAACTCGTTGACCTAACACACCAGAAACACGCGGAATCGTTTCATTTGGGTAAAGCAATGACCGCACTTTTAAATGCTTTATTTCACTCTTAGCTGGCAGTTAGCTGTATGCTAAATAATAGGTTCTTAGTGGCAGCAGAAAGCTAACCGGTGTTCTGTCAACTAGCTAACATTAGCTAGCAGCAACTGGAAAAAAAAAAGTTAAAGTTTTTGGTGTATCGCTTGATTATTTCTCTCGGGTATTTACGGAGGGCATCTGGCCAAATTGTGCAGTCGATTAATTGTGAACTGCTTTTTGTGCAGATAGGATAGGTGAGCGGTGGTTGCCCAGCCATGCCGTCCCCCGCTGGACCCAGCAGCCCCGCCGCTGCGCTCGCTGAAGCCCTGGAGAACTCCTCACGGCTCATCGACAGACACCTGCAGGATGACCGATGCTTTCCCGACCTGTCAGAACTGCTCGGGGTCCCCTCACACAGTAAGCTACGGCGAAGGAAAGACCTAATGATAGCTGTTTGTTTACAGCTCATGCAACACTAAGAGTAGAGGAAAAACTGGGATGGATAATGTCGGTGAAAGCAAATGTTGCAGGAGGTTTTGGACAAAACTTTCCTACAGAGGATCTGAGCAGCAGTTGTTGCTCATGTGTGTGTAAAATACAGATTTCAGGAGTGACTGTGGGAAATATGGATGTGTTTGGGTGAAGAGAGACAGTTGAAAAAGTTCAGGGTGATGTGTTGAAAAGCATGAAAATGTGAAGGTTTAGCACTTAGGGTTTTTTTTTTAATTAAATGATTTAAGGCAAAAAGCTTTATCAAAATATTTGGTTAAACTCCCATAGATCATCTCATTGTAAGAATGTATTCTCCATATGTGATTCTTTTTTTGTTTGGTTATTATTATTATTTTGTTTAACTGTAAAAGGAGGAAAGCTAAATCTGCTCCACAGATTTATAAGCAAATGAAGCATCTCTATGTTACGCTTGCATCGTGGTATTTTATTTTAAGGGGCTAAATTATTCTGTTGCTCAGTAGTTAAAAAGATAGATAAGGGAAATGAAAAGTTCACATTGGAATTATTTCATATCACTTGACCAAGTTTTGGATAAAATTCTCAGCCTAACCATCTCTGATTTTCCTGACAAAAATTCAAAAGCCAGGGTACACCTTTGACATGTTTCCAGTCTGTCGAAGGGCTAGCAGATAGTGACAGGCAACCATTAACTCTCACATTTACACCTTTAGAAGTTTAGGCAATCACCTATTAACCTAACCCCATGCGTGTCTTTGGATTGTGGGAGGAAGCTGGAGTACCAGGGGACACTGGGAGAACATGCAAACGCCACACTGGATTTGAACCCGGTGCCTTCTTGCTGTGAGACAACAGTGCTAACTGCGCTCCTTATTATCAATTTGTTTTTGTGTTTAGGGGGCATTTTTAAGACACCATTTTCTGTGGAGCCATTTTCATATATTGTAGGTAGTTCTCCTAGTAGCTAAGTAGTCGTTCAAATATTTTAGGCCAAATATCTGCTGATGTGACTGAAGGAATATGGAATTTCAAAAGTGTAGCTGAAGTTCAACATATATTTCTGACAGCGTGAATTTTGATGAAAATTTTAATAGTTTTTGGAACACAGATTTCCGTATATGAGGTGTTTTCTGTACTACCAAATTACTCATATCAGATGAATGGTTCGTTGATATTCCAGACCCGCCCCCCCCAGAAAACCCGCCAAAACATCACCGTAACAACTTAATTGTTACTACTTCTTCTTTTTTCTTTTTTTTGCAAAGATTTGGTGTCTTTGTTTATAACTTCAGCCTCACTTTCTCAGCATGACTTTTAAAATATATATATTTTTACAGATGGTATTTAAGAGAGCTTAAATTTCACAATGTGAGTGTCATGCACTAGGCTAAAAGCTAAAGCCTGTCAGCTTCCTTATTTGGAAGCATAGTCCTGGAATTTTCTTCAGGAAAACCAGAGACGGCCAAGCTTGATGCATTTGGTCAGTTGATATAGAATGAACCATTGTCTTAACACCTTTCAGTGTAACATCTTTATATATTTCAACAACTATATTGCTTACCTTATTTTACAGTGATGGAGAAAAACTTAATACTATAAACAGACTTCCTGTTGTTCTTCACAGATATGCCGTCCCTCTCCGGGGTGTCAGATATGGACTACCCACTCCAGGGGCCTGGTTTACTCAGTGTGCCTAACCTGCCAGAGCTCAGTGCAGTCCGCC